CATCCTCTACCTCACTAATTTTCTCTTGTGTATGTATTGTTAGGTCACTACCCATCCCGATTTTTTCAATTTTCCTACTATATATAGAATAGAATCTAACCTCTTTTAGCATGGCTTTGAAGGCTCTCTGTAACCCAACTCCTCCTGCCTTACTGGTCTTAGTTTCTGTTATTTCCCACTTAAATTTAAATCTCAGAAATAGTTAAGCACTTTTATGATATTTTAAGATTTTAACAAAATTGATATTTATTGTAGAAAATTACAAGGATAAAATAATCATTCATCTCACTGACCAGATTTAACTACAAATAACATATAAATGCACTTTTTTCTAGTCTTTTTTCTCTAAAGATAGAGTGAGACAGTTCCATTTGGAAGGTGGTGGATAGTCATCCAAGCATACATGTTTGGAAATAAGATTGAAAATAAATAATTACAATTTTCCTCAGAACTCCATGGCTTTGCATGTGCAAACGTTTTGCCTGGAAGATTTTTCGTCATATGCCAACCCATTCCAGTATGTCTACAATTCTGGCTGAAACACTCCCATTTCCATGAAGCCTCTGAACTTACCAAGGCAGAATTTGGGTCCTCAGTGCAGTTTGTTTTTATCTTCATTATAGAAACCATCACATCAGGTTCTAATTATTTGAATTTTTGTCTTTGAACTGAAAATTACTTGAGATAGTGACCTTTGTATCTCCATATAGGGTATAAAATCTGACTTAGTTGTCTGAGGAAGAACTTTCAGAGAAACCAGTAGTCCAGGGGAATAGAGTGTTTTAAGAAACAGCCCTGGCCAGATTGGCTCAGCGGTTGGAGCATTGGTCGGCGGACTCTAGAGTCCCGGGTTCAGTTACCGCTAGGGGCCTACCAAAAAAAAAAAAAAAAGAAACAGTGGTGCCCTGGCTAGTTTTGCTCAGTGGTTAGAGCGTCAGCCCTCGGACTAGAGAGCCTTGGGTTCGGTTTCCGCTAAGGGCACGTACCACAGTTGCAGTTTGTCCCTGGCCCCGGTTGGGGTCATTTGGGTGGCAACCCCTTGATGTGTCTCTCTTACATCAATGTTTCTCTTTGTCTCTTCCTCCCTCTCTCTCTCTTGCTCTATCTGAAGATAAATGCAAAAATGTTCCCGGGTGAGGATTGAAAAAAAAAGAAACTGGTGAAATGTATTAAATGTTGTGTACTTATTGTGGGTGGTAAACTGCTGTATCTCCTCAAGTACATGTTGTAGGTAGTCAAGAAATTTTTAAATGAATGAATGTAGAGAATAAGGTAAGTAAGATAAGGCCTGGAAAGTTTTCTTCTGCAAGAGCAGTTGTACATGCATGGTAGCAAATGGACACCAATTGTAGCAGAGGGAGTAGGAGGGTATGAAATGGAGGTCACTGTTGACAACTATTTCTAGACCTTTGATTACGAAGAGGATATAAAAGATAGGATCTGGACAATACCTGAAGGCATCTCTCCCTGTTAGCCCCTAATGAAGACTGTTCTATGTGGAATGTTCTTGGTAGGTAACTACGTAGGGCACCTTTTCTCAGTGTAAGAATTCCCGGAAGTACAGTATAGGCCCTAGCTCCCAAGATCATGGTTTTTAGGCATGGGGTAGTACCCAGGTAAATCTGATGCAGTCAATTTCCCTAGACCACACTTTGAGAAGTGCTGTCTTAGGAGGTCTGAAATACAGGAAGCTCTTGGTATGTCCTTCTTAGGTGCAGAAAGTATCCAGAACCTTTAAGGACTGTCAGGATTGGGTGGGGAGGCTGTTCAGTCTTCTCTGCTATTTTCTCTTCGCTATCCAGCTTCCTGCTGCTGACTTTCTTGGTGGCCACTTCTAACCATGCTATCTTCTAAACCTTGTTGTCCTCATAGTTCCTCTTTATTCTTAATTGCTTTCTTCTATCTCCCGTGGCTTCTGTTTTTCTGACACAGAAAGCCTGGCCTTTTACAACATCACCAGCCAGTGACTGGGCCTCTGTTTTTGCCAGTACACTGACCAGTCACAGGAGAGCTGACATCTGTCCTTGAGCTGTTCCTGGCTTTTGTCCTTGTTCTCCCAGCTGTGCTTCAACACTAAAGCCTTGATTTGACTGCTTCTGGGTTTGGCGCTCTTCCAGAGGCCTGAGGGTTTCAGAAGGCTGATCTTTGGCTTGTCAAGGTTTATAGAAGGACAGTGGCATTTAAAGTAATATTTTAAAAGTATATAACCTAAGAATGTTAGGAAACATTTTCTGTTACCTAATAACTTTATCTTATTGGTTGGTGATTCTCTCAGTTGAGTAATATTTTAAGAGGTTTCTGAAGGTAGCCTAATGGTCCTTGAAATAGCCCGAGAAGTATCCCTAAGAAACACATATTGGTCCATACATGGCCTTTGTGCAGAAACTACCCTTGATGCTCCATTTGTCTCAGTCTTGCATTTCTTTGGGAGTCTTAATGTTCCAGGTCCTTTTAGTCACAGCTTTGGAATTGATAACATTTGAGTTGCTTAGAATTGTAGTCCACGTGTAAATATTACATATTATGTCTTTTAGGCAGGCCTTAAAAGGTGAACTGTTAGTTAAGCATTTCACACTTCTGTGAGCGCTTTCTTTGTCTTTTGGATGCAGTTGCAGTTATATATAATAAGCAAAACTATAAGCTCCTGGCATAACAGAACTTGGCTGGTCTGAGCACAGTTATAAAGTAGATGACTGTACACATTATTATCACTTTTCTCTGGGAAGCCACCAAAGAAAAGGGGAATGGTATTTAACAGCAGAGGAAATTCGAGGTGCTCTGAGACAACTTTGAAGCACTGTCTGGGAGCTATGGGAATTGTATCCTGGAATGTAAGCTCTTGAAGATGGAAGTTTTTAAAAGAAAATATGTCTCCTAAATTAAGGAAATTTACCAAGTGAACAGTTCCACACAGTTACCCTTACATAATTGTTTTTATTAAAAAAGCAAAAAGAAGAAAAGGCTATAACAGTTTATTTATTTATTTTTGCTATAACAGTTTAAAAACAAACAAACCTATTGTCTATATTATGCTTATAATTTTTTTTTTTTTTTTTAATCCTCACCCAAGGATATTTTTCTATTTATCTCGGATAGAGTGGGAGAGAGGGAGGGAGAGAAAGAGAGAAACATCCATGTGAGAGCGACACATTGACTTTGACTGGTTGCCTTCCTCACGACCCCGACTAGGGCTGGGGACGAACCGCAACTGAGGTACGTGCCCTTGACCAGAGTTGAACCCGTGACTCTGGTCCTCGGGCCGATGCTCTACCAGCTGAGCCAAACTGTCTAGGGTTATGCTTGAAACTTTTTGTCATCTCCAGATCTCTTTGGTTTCTTTATATACTGTTATTTTTGCATACATGTCATCTTAATGTGTACCTTGGATCCAAAATTATTTTATAAACATTTTGATGTCACTTCATTTTATATTTTTATGACTCTAATTGGTCCATTAAGTTGGTGGTGTTAGCCATTTCCCTATTTTTAGGTAGAAGATGTTTGCACATTTACCTATTGTAAATATACAGAGTAAGGTAAAAGTAGGTTTACAGTTGTGAGTATGGAAACACAGGGTTTATTCTTTTTTTTTTTAATCTTTTTTATTGATTTTAGAGAAAGAGGGAGGGAGAGAGAGAGGAACATTGATGAGAGAGAATGCTGATTGGCCGCCTCCTGCATGCTCCCCATGGAGGATTTAGCTCACAACCTGGATATGTGCCCTGACCGGGAATCGAACCAGTGACCTCTTGGTGCATAGGTTGATGCTCAACCACTGAGCCACACCAGCAAGGCACAGAGCTTATTCTTGCATTATTATTTATTAGTTACTACATTATTTTTCATACAAACAACTGACAACCTACTTTTGCCCACCCCTGTACTCTACTGTGTATCACATTTTATATTTGTAATTATTTCCTTAGGATTAAATCCCAGTAGCTAGATTGCTAAGTGAGAGGGTAGAAACATTTTTTTATGGTTTTTGATATAGGTTGTTAAATTACCTCCCCCCCCCCGCCCCAATTATACTAGTTTACAGAGCCATATCTGGTTTCTTTCAGCTTTCTGCAGTAAGTTTGGTTTGGTTTAAAACACACATACACACACACTTTTTGTTTGCTAATTTACCTTATATTGCTTTTATTTCTATTTATTTGATAACTAGTAAAGCTCTCCTTATTTAAAAATCTGTATTTGTTTTTGTTTTATATTTGGGAAGGGCAGATATATGTGCATAATAATTTTTCTTTAAAGATTCTGGAAGACTTACTCAAGCCTCTTTTAGGTTTTTTTTACTCCCCCACCCCCCATCTTTTTTGGGTCTAGTTTGTAGATCTAGACATTGTAGGGAATTAATAGAATATTCAATTTAATTAAACTGAATATTCTATTAATTCCATACATAGAACTTGATTTTCTTAAAAAACAGAAAGAGTTATAAAAGATCAAACTCAAAAATTGAGTCAGGGCTTTGTGCAGGATATTAGTCTTAGCCTGAGGAAAAATAAAAACTATTGAAAAATTGTGAGAGGATGTTGCAATCAGGATTTTGACAAGTTCACTCAAACTAACATTTAGTATTGACGTAACTGAGGCACCTGGATATGCCTGTTTGGCCCCCTAGGAGCCATAAGCAATAATGGAGATAGATATTTCATGGGACAAAGACTTAATAGCTTTTATTGTGTTAGGGAATACTTGACACTATTACTCGTTTTTGAAGCACTGTTAATTAAATATTACAATATATTTGTTTGGACAAAAGCAAGAATGGATTCTGGAGATCTGGTATGAAACTTATTTTAGTTAATGTAGGTGAAAGATGAGGTACTTGGGGAGGAAAGGTGAATGATAGGGGTTTGGAGAAAGTTTATAGAAAACATAGTTTGAGAGGTATTATGTTTATAAAGTCAATAGAAGATAAGATGGGTAGAAATGTTTTATGTTTAATGTATTTTATTTTATTTTTTAAATATAATGTACATTTTATATTTCAGATGAATTTACAACTGATTTTCTGGATTGGACTGATCAGTTCAGTTTGCTATGTGTTTGGCCAAACAGGTATTTGTCTTATCATTTCAAAATTTTGTATCACTTTTTGACCAGTTAGATTCTGGGGAAAACCTAAGTCAGATAAATCAGATCATGCTATTCCATCTGAAAGCCCTGCAATAATCTCACTCAGAGTAAACGGCAAGGTCCTTATAATGGCCTGCAAGGCGCCCCCCACCTCTACCATCCAGGATGATGATAGGTAGGTCAGCCAATGAAATGCTAAAATGATAAGATAGAATACCCTACAGAAAGACCTTGAGCATAGAAAAAGCAAAGGCATGTAATATATTTAGAAGAAAAGAAAGTAAAAGTGTAGAATGGTGGATTATGAACTATCCATTACTATCTAAAAGTATGAAACCAGGAACAGTTGACTTTCTAGAAGATGTTTCTGTTCTTTAATAAAAAAAATCCTGCAAAATGTTGACATCATTAGAAGAGGAATGAAAAATAAAGCAGAAAAAAATGTTTTTAACCCTCTTATAACTATGATGCATCCACATCTGAAGTAATAGAATGTCCAGTTCTATTCTCCAAATCTTAAAAAATGCACTGCATAGAATAATGATTTGATCCCAGGAGAGGAAGGACATATGACACAGAAAAATGAAGAAAAAAAGTCATAAGGGAAATATTGATAAATTTGAATTGTATTAAACCAACAACATAAAAATCTCCGAATATCTATATGTCAAAACACCATCAACAATAAAAAACTAAACAAGGGTTTAATTTTCTTATGTGTAGAGAGCCAATAAAAACAGATGAACATAATAGAAAAATTTGCAGAAAACAAAGCGTAAAATTTACAAAAGATATGGTCAGTAGAAATATGAAGAAAATGAAACTTTAAACAACTGACAATTGAATTGATATTTTAATATATACCTGTTAAATGAGTAAAAATAATTATATTAAAAAAGTACTTTATTATAATTAAAGTACTTTTAAGGTGTGTTGAAATGTTTTTTATATATTGCTTGTGGGAATATTAATTCTGGATAGAAATTAGTGTGTATTATAATTTTAAAAACATTAATATTCTTCAACTCAGTATTTTTTTAAAAAATCATTGATAAGGAAATAGAGTTTTACATTATAAGAATGGTCATGTGAGTAGGTGCATCTGTGTGTGTATGTGTATCTATGTGTTTCAGGGGTTCATGTGTGCATGTGTACAAGCATGTGTGAAATGTGCACACATGCAATTGAACACAAGTTTGTTCAACACTCAATAGGGGATGATATAATGAAATATGCAATTATTAAAAGTCATAGTTTTGAAGAATTTATAATGAAATACTTAGGGTAAACTATAAAAAGTAGTATATAAAATGTATATCCTCAATTTCATTTAAATAATGTCTGTATATTCTTGCTTCCTTGCTATATTCCTTTATCTATATATATATAAAAAAAGACTGTAAAGAAATACACAAATTGTTAATAATAGTTATCTCTTATGAGCAGATTGTGGGTTATTTTTAGCCTTTTCTTTGTTTTTATATATTTCTCAAATTTTTTATAATGAGCATAATCAGAAAAGACACATTGGAGACAGTCCATAACAGCGCTCACAGCATGAAAGGCATGCTGATACTTAGGTAGGTTCAAAGAAATGTAAGACATGCTTTGAACACAGAGCCTGAAAAATCATGGGTTTGTGGCTTGGATGAGTAATGAACTTTTCAAATATTTAACATTAAAAATGAAGGACAAACTGCTCAAGATGCTTATGGAGTATAGTTGTGGTAGTATGACTTAAGTGGAAAGAAATAATACTTTGCCCATTTGTAAGAAAACTGACAGTTATTACCATCCAACATGATAGATCTGAAATTATGCCTTTGACAAAAAAGATAAATGTACGTGTAGATTGACCAGTACTTTTTGCTATAGAAGACAAGAAAGATAACAATCTTTTTATAGCTCTGTGTCAAGGTGATCCAGAGTCACTTCTCTTTTGGGGCCTCTTTTGGGCAGGTCTGGATCATAGTATTCATATTTAACGTTCATATATATTGCATTATTTGTCCATGTGATCCAAATTCTTTACTACTTTCCTTCTTGAAATGTCAAGTAAAGTGATCTATTCTTTTTTTCCTGACAGATGAAAATAGATGTTTAAAAGCAAATGCCAAATCATGTGGAGAATGTATACAAGCTGGGCCAAATTGTGGATGGTGTACAAATTCAGTACGTAAGATTGTATAAGTTATTTCCATTTATTCTTTAGTCATTTAGTGTTGCACAAAACTGTATCCTTGGGAAGAGCTAGATAAGAATTTTCACTTAAATCGGTGTTTGTTAAATAGGTGTCAACTCTGTACAATATTGTGTGATAGTCTAGAGTTGTGCTGCTCAACACAGTAGCCTCTGGGCACATTTGACTTGAGCACTTGAAGTATGAATGGTCCAAATTGAGAATTCAAATTGATTGACCTTGATGCTGTTTCACTTAGAAGGTTCAAAATGAGTGGTAGCTGCTATCATCAACAATATCCATTTTAGTAGAGTTATAGTTTATCTGGAATTGAGAGTTCTCCTATGCAAACTATTTAAATAGTTTAGCCTTTGATCTTTGTGGCATAATTCTTAAATTATTAAAGACTATTGGGATATATTTAGTGACATTTTATTTACATGTTATGATTTTAAAGTTTTCTGGTTTGACTAATATTAGGAAAGTAATAATGTACTAGGTAGTATTTTTTGTGCTTCTATAGTAACTTAGGTTTGATAATACATAAAAGCAATGCAGCTTTGAACCATCTGATCCATGGCATGTCTTTCCAATTGTTTCTCTAACTACATAAATGTTCTTATTTAGGGTTATATTTCCCTTTAAAACTGATCGAAACTATTGTGTATTTTTTGTATTTAAGTGTTCTCACTTATTATATACAGCACCATAAAATTAGTAGATAATAAAATACTATATAAAAGTGAATATAAGTGACCCGAAATGAAAGGCATTTTTTCATTTTCCCTATGTTAAGATTAAAAATATTTTTTGCCTATTAGATATAAAATTTTTAGGGATATATGTTAAATATCTACTATAATAATTTAGTTATATGTACACATTTTTAAACGATGCACACACACACACATATACACTGTCATTGTTTTCTTCTACCACTCACATTTCATGAAAAACTTACTTGAGGATATTTTCCCATTTATCTTCAGATGGGTGGTTGGGGTGGGGGGAGAAAGAAAGATTGATGTGAGAGAGACAACCAGCGTCGGGGACCAAACTGCAACTGAGGTATGTGCCCTTGACCAGAATTGAATCCATGGCTTTGGTCTGTGGGCTGCAGGCTGATGTTTTAACTACTGAGCCAAACCAGGCAGGGCTATACATCTCAAAAGCAGTGTTTTTGTTTTACAAAGGTACTTCTTTGGTCATCTGATCAAATTTTTATTTCCATCTAAGTTGTTTGAGGTATAACTTTTGTTTTTGATCCTCACCCAAGGACATTTTTTCATTTTTTGTTCAGATAGAGTGGGAGGAGAGAGAGAGAGAGAGAGAGAGAGAGAGAGAGAGAGAGAGAGGAGAGAGGAGAGAGAGAGAGAGAGAGAGAGAGAGAGAGAGAAACATCGACATGAAAGGAACACGTCGAGTGGTCGCCACCCACACGACCCAACCAGGGCCAGGGACAAACTGCAACCGAGGTATGTGCCCTTAGCGGGAACCAAACCCCGGTCTCTGGACTGCAGGCCGATGCTCTTAACCGCTGAGCCAAACCAGCCAGGGCTGAGGTATAACACATTTTGATATTTATAACCTTTGTCATATAATCACTTACTGTGTTGTTTTTAAAATAAATTTTAAAAGTGTTTTTTAGAATAATAGCCAATACTTGAAAAATTTTCAACCTTCTAGGAATACCAAATCTGTGCTAAATTTCTTAGTCTTCATTTTCAAAATAACATTATTAATCAAGATGCTTTCAAGATAACATGTTTTCTGTAAACATTGAGTTCGAGATACTGTGATGGAGGATGCTACATAGTATGAGAGGCTTCTAAGGATTTTTCTTAGGAAAAAATATTTGGTATTTGGTTGTATATACATTATTAGTGGCTGTTAGCCATGCCGAATAAGTGATTTTACTGAAGAAATTTTTGTTAGATACTCTGAATTTGAAAGTGGGACAGTTAAAATGTACACTTAGATCAGTTCTGAGTATTATTAAAATAATAAATTACTAGTAATATATTAGTAAAAAAGTATTACTTTCAAGGAAAATATTTTGTTTATAAACAAGAGCACTTATGGTTTAGATGAAGGAAATATTTTGTTTAAAAACCAGAAATTAAGTACATTCAATATGTCGCTTAATTTTTGCAATTTAATTATGTATTTGTAATTATGATTATGTAAAAGGTTTGACCATTATACTTTCTATTTATACGTATGTTTTATGTCATTTAGACATTTTTACAAGAAGGAATGCCTACTTCTGCACGATGTGATGATTTAGAAGCCTTAAAAAAGAAGGGTTGTCATCCAGATGACATAGAAAATCCCAGAGGTTCCAAAGATATAAAGAAAAACAAAAATGTAACCAACCGTAGCAAAGGAACAGCAGGGAAACTCCAACCAGAAGATATCACTCAGATCCAACCACAGCAGTTAGTTTTGCAATTACGATCAGGTACAGAAATCTAATTCTGTAAATACCTTTGTTTCTACTTGAGCTTTTTGACAACTTTTTATAAGCCTCTTACCAGTTTCTGGTGAGGGTTCCTTTTCATAATGTAGACTGGCTCTCAAGTAGAACTGGAATACATTAAATTTTAGAAATATTTTTCAGAAATAATTTGTAAGACATTCTTGAAATAATAGTGAATATTGGCTAATACTCAAAGTAAACTCTGTTAAAGATTAAAAAGTATTAGGTTTAATGGATTTTAAAAATAAAGGTGTTCACACTCTGGTATAATTATATAATCTAAAGAAACATTTTAACCTGTAATTTTTCTTTATATGTTTAGTATTGTTAAAATATTAAGGATTTTTATTTAAAATTTGTGGTAATATTGTATCTAAAAAAACAAAAAAGAAAACAAATCCTCTACTTCTTCCAATTTCCATCCCCTGTTTTTCAAAAGAGTGGTACACATTGCTTGTGTTCATGACTTCCATTTGCATTTACTCTTCAACCTGGTGCAGTTAGGCTTCTACTTCTAAACCTGTTCTGGCAAAGGTCTACCATCACCTTGAACCACCAAGCCTAGTGTACCCTTGTCGGGGGATCCTTTTTTTCTTTTAATCTTTCTATACCAAGAGATGCCTTTGAGCCTCTTGAAATGCTCTTTCTCTTGGTTTCTAGATATCACTCCTAGTTTTTCTGAACATGCTTTCTAATCTCTTTTTGTGTATGTCTTTTTTCCAGTTTTTTTCTTTGCAGTCTACTTAATTGTTGGCGTTCCTCTCATGGCTTTAAAACCATTTTTATACTGTCGCACCAATTTTTAAGTTTCAAATCCATTTATCCAACTGTGTTCTAGAAATCTACATAGAGATATCTACAAGTTAAAAATGTAATGATTTTCTTCACCCAAACCTTCTCTTTTTCGTGTATTTCCTATGTGAATTATACCTAACACTTCTTAAACATTTCTCTTCTTCTTATTGTTTCAATTCAAATTCTTCATTGTCTTCTTAGATTTTTGCTTTAGTTTCTTAACAATTTTTTTTGGTCTATTAGTCATTTAAAAACTCTTTACCAGGCTTTCTAAAGTAAAAATCAGATTATGTTATTTGCATATAGTAGGATTTCATTAAACAGAAAACAGTTTTAATTTAGAACGTCAAACTCTAAAAAGTCAGGTGTATCCTATAATGTGCCTTCCCCACCCAGCCCCAGTCTCATTTATGTTGATCCATCTACTTGCTAGTTATAAATCGACCATTTATGTATGTCTTATCTGCTGTGGATTTTGTCTTTTTCATTTTGTATCCCCAGGGCTGGGCATTTTAAGTATTTGTGAATGAAATTGAATACACACCCATTGTATTCCTTATGGAATTCCCATAGGTTTTGTAAAAACTAGAGCAATAATACATTTCATTTTATAGTGTTTACCTTGTAAATACAATTTATTTGTTTTGTTTTTTTCTCTCATTGCTTTTAATTGCTGACAAGCTAATTTCATTTTCAAATATCTGTTTAATTAGGGGAGCCACAGACATTTGCATTAAAATTCAAGAGAGCTGAAGACTATCCCATTGATCTCTACTACCTAATGGACCTCTCTTACTCCATGAAAGATGACTTGGAGAATGTAAAAAGTCTTGGAACAGATCTAATGAATGAAATGAAGAGGATTACTTCAGACTTCCGAATAGGTGGGAATATTGAGAAAATGAATAATTTTCATTTTTTTAAATCTTGGCAGTTTTGTTCTTCACTGCATACTTGTGAGATAATTAAGGCCAGGTTTTAGCCTTTTCTTTAATAGAGGACTGATAATTATCAATATCTAACAATTGTTCTGTTTCCTTGTTCCTCTGTTATGTATGCTACTATGTTATTTGACAGAGATTACAGTTGCCCTTTGAATTTACAGGGTACTGGTTCCAGGAACCCCTTTTGGTACCCAAAGCCATGGATGCTCAAGTCCTTTATTATAAAGAATGGCATTTGCATTTAGGCAACAGCAGGGTCTTCCCACACATCATTTTATTCACATGGGTTCATCATAGTGCTTGGTGCATGGCAAATTCAAATTTTGCTTGTAGGAACATTCTGAGACTTTAAATATTTTCAATCTTTAGTTGTGGTTGATTCTGCTGATGCAAAACCCACAGATGTGGAGGACTGACAGTCTACCAAATGGATAATGAAATACATGCTTTTATTTATAGGAATTTATTCATTCTTTTGTTGATTTACTTTATAACTATGTTAGTATTCCAATTCTGTTTTATTACCAGCCAATATAGCCTACTCTCACTTCAGACCTGGATTTTTCATATTATAATGATCTTCTTTCCAAACCTTATTATTAAAATTTTATTATTTCTTATTAAGGAAAAAGATTGACTAATGTGTGGTAACATTCTTGATTTTATTTTAAAAATATTTTTCTTTATTGATTTTAGAGAGCGAGGAAGGGAGAGGGAGAGAGAGAAATATCTATCGGCTGCCTCCTGCATGTCCCCTGCTGGGGATTGAGCCCATAACCTGGGCATGTGCCCTGACCAGGAATAAAACTGGTGACCTCTTGGTGCATGAGTTGACACTCAACCACTGAGCCACACTGGCTGGGTTTGATTTTATTTTTAATGCAAATTTATTCATCTATCCATTCATCTATTTCTCTTTATGAATTTTTCCTATATAGGATTTGGCTCATTTGTGGAGAAAACTGTGATGCCTTACATTAGTACAACACCAGCTAAGCTCAGGAACCCTTGCACAAGTGAACAGAACTGTACCAGCCCATTTAGCTACAAAAATGTGCTCAGTCTTACTGATAAAGGGGAAGTATTTAATGAACTTGTTGGTAAACAGCGCATATCTGGAAATTTGGATTCTCCAGAAGGTGGTTTTGATGCAATAATGCAAGTTGCAGTTTGTGGGGTAAGTACATTCATTTTCTACAAAGGAATATTATTTATATGAATTTTAAGTGAGATTTTACTGTCCGTTAGTAGAAAAAATTACCTTTATTACCATATCATACTCAATTATTCCAGAGAAGGATAGAATTTAGTCCCTTAAATTCTCTCCAATTACAAGTACTTTCTGAAAGCATATGTAATCATTATGTCTTTGAACCAGTTACTTAGTTCATTTATAAAGGGTTTTATGAATCCAGAATGCTTGTCCGGCTGGTATGGCTCAGTGGTTGAGTGTCGACCTGTGCGCTGAGAGATTGCTGGTTCGATTCCCAGTCAGGGCACATGTCTGGGTTGCAGGCTGAATCTTTAGTAGGGGCCAATCAGGAAGAGGCTAATTAAATGTTTCTCTTATTGATGTTTCTATCTTTCCCTATCCCTTCCTCTTTCTCTAAAAATCAATTAAAAAATTAAAAATTCAGAATGCTTACCATTTGAAACAGTGGGACACTCTAGCTGGTATTCTAGGTTTTTAGAAGCAGCCCATGAGTCCTGATCTTCTGGCTTTGTACCAGAGATGGAATTAAGGTCGTCTCAGGTATTACAGGAGTATTAAAGTTCTGAAATGGAAGCAGTATTTCAGATGTCATTTTTCTTTGGTCAGTTTTTTTCTGCTTATCATCTTTAAAATATGCCTTTTCCTAGCCCTGGCTGGTGTGGCTCAGTTGGTTGGAGTGTCATCCTGTGCACCGAAGGGTTGTGGTTTGGCTCTCAGTCACGGCACATACCCAAGGTTTGGTCCCAGATCAGGGTACATATGGGAGGCAACCAACTGATGTTTCTCCTAATTTATAAGTTGAGAACATGTATTTTGAGAAGACATAAATTTTTGTAATTTTAATAAGGTTTTCAGTAGTAGCAAGCTATTGAACTAGTGGACTAGTGATTAGAATTTTATGGTCTATTTAATAGCTGAAGATTTTGGGATGACCTTATATTGAGGTAGCTGAAATTAGAAAACATTGCAAGGTAGATAAAGTTTGTCCTTTTTTCAATTACAATTTACAGTCAGTATTATTCTGAATTAGTTTCAGATGTATAGCATAATGGTTAGATAATCATGTACTTTACAAAAGGGTCCCCTGATATTTCAAGTACCCACCTGGCCCCATACATAGTTATTACAATATTATTGACTGTTCCCTATGCTGTAATTTATACCTCTGTGACTATTCTGTAACTACCACCAATTTGTACTTCTTAATCCCTTAACCTTTTTCACCTAGTCCCCCAACCTCTTCCCCTTTGTCAACCATCAGTTTGTTCTCTGTATCTATGAGTCTGTTTCTATTTTGTTTACTTGTGTATTTTATTCTTTAGATTCCACATGTTAGTGAAATCATATGGTATTTGCCTTTCTCTGACTTATTTCACTTAGTATAATACCCTCTATATCCATCTGTTGCAAATGGTAAGATTTCTTTTTTTTTATGGCCTAGTAGTACTCCATTGTTTATATGCACTTGGTAAGTACCTACTACTTTATCACTGTTCCCATTTTATTTTCCTTGTAGTGCCCCTGTTCCCTAGAGGTCCTTCCTTGATTCCAGATGCTTCTTTATTTTTTTTCCTTTATTGATTTTAGGGAGAGAGAGATAGAAACATTGATGAAAGAGAACATTGATTGGCTGCCTCCTGCATACCCCCCACTGGGGATTGGGCCCATTCCTGACCGGAAATCGAACCAGCGACCTCTTGGTGCACTGAGCCATGCCGGTTGGACTCAGATGCTTCTTTTTTTTTTTTTTTTTTTATCCTCACCCGAGGACATTTTCCCATTTTTTACTCAGATAGAGAGGGAAGGAGAGAGAGGAAGAGACAGAAACATCGATGTGAAAGGGACACATTGAGCGGCCGCCACCCACACGACCCAACCAGGGCCGGGGACAAACTGCAGCCAAGGTACGCGCTCTTAGCGGGAACCGAACCCGGGTCTCTGTGGACCGCAGGCTGACGCTCTAACCGCTGAGCCAAACTGGCCAGGGCAGATGCTTCTTATTAGTTACTTTTCAACCGATTTTTGCTAGGGTGTTGATATCTGAGATAATAATTACATTTTTATATCACTACTGATCTTAGACAATTTACTTAGCTATTCTAGAGGGCTGTTTTTTGCCTTCTTAAGGGATAATAATAGATATATCTCATTAGGGCTATTATGAAATTTAAATATAGTAACCCATATAAAGTATCACTGAGCACTGAGCAGATATTAACATATATTATTGTTACTTTTGAATTCTCTCTGGGGAGTTGCAATTTAAGGATACTTGTTTTTCAAGGAAAAGAAAGAGTCATAGTCTAGGTAGTGCCTAGCCTGACACCACTTTACTTTCCAGCCATTCACTTGTGATCCTGTTGGCAGCTCACTGGTGAGGGAACATCCTTTAGGCTATCTCTAATTATGCCTGAGCCTGTGAGATTGAACAAGCCATAGCATCCATGGCACTACTATCTGATTGTTAATGATAATTGAGACCAACTGTTCCACCCACTTTTCTAGATGCAAAAGAGACAAATGTTCCACTGAGTTGCCAGCGTTAATAAGCTTAATTTCTGCCTTCAAGGAATTTACAGTCTTATGAGGGTATAAACAGATGTACTGAGTAAATTTAGAAAAATATAATTACAAAATTAATGAGAGAGAAGAGGATTTTATGGCTACATTAAATTATTTGTTGAATAAGGTGGAGAATAAAATAAATGAACAAATAAACAGTACTATTAGAATGGTGGAATTAGGCAGGGCAAGTCATTGGAGATTATTTTTTTTCTGTTAAAAATTGATGGCCATAAAGTAGGTATATGCTATAGAAGATAGAGTAAGGACGGAGGATGGAAGGGAACAAGACAGCAGCAGGAAAGGAAAGGAAATCTTAAACTGAGACATATTTATCTACCAAATACATGTGAAGCTAAGCACTGTACTAACTGCTACAGATATGAAGATAAACAAAATCAGATTTGGTCCCTGCCACACATGGAGTTAGTTAGCTTACCTTCTAGTAGGTAGACACTGGTTTTAAAATGCACAGTTTTTAAAACAGAGCTGAGACAAATGGACAACCAGGCAAGGTATAGTTTTACAATAGGATGGAGGAACTTTACTCAATGACCTCTATGTGTTTATCAGCAAGAATAGTATTTAGCATTGGGAAAAGGAAAGGTGAAAAGAAGATACAGAATATGGTTAAAAGTACAGTGGTAGTATATCTGAATTATTGTGAGTAGTTTCAAATTATAATCCTTTTCTTTTTAAGTCATTGATTGGCTGGAGGAATGTTACACGGCTGCTGGTGTTTTCTACGGATGCTGGGTTTCATTTTGCTGGAGATGGAAAACTTGGTGGCATTGTTTTACCAAATGATGGACGGTGTCACCTGGAAAATGATGTCTACACAATGAGCCATTATTATGTAAGTGCTTAATTTCTTATATTGAATTGATTCATGTTGATTTTAGTGTTTAATGCTGAGTATTGTGGATGACAGGCGTGTGGATTTTTCAGGGTGTCAATGTAGGAAACATTCAAACTTATAAAGACATTTTGTGAGTTTATGTGAACCAAACTGTTGACAATTGCAGGCAACAAAATCTCAATGGATTGAGATAATGCTCTGGAGAATGGCAGTTTTGCACCATATTTTATATATTACAATCAAAAGAGGAGATGTAAGTGGGTTACGTGAAATCCATTGGTGATAGATTATGGAGGAGGGAGAAAGCAAATGGGAGACAAAGACACCCACATAAAAGACCAACACACTAAATTTTGTTTGGAGTTACTCACCTTAGGCTCCAGCAGAGGGAGGACAAAGTGGACTAGAGCTGCATGAGGAGAGTCTGGGATTGGTTGCTCTGGGGAGAGAGTTGGGAAGGCGGCTGCCAGGATCCCTGTCCTGAGTCATTTCCCCACACTGCAGAAGCTGTTTTTCTTAGGCAAATTTTTTCCCATCAAAGCAGCTTTAGCCTTATGGGGAAGTAGCTGCCCCACTTCTTAGAGATTCTGTATCCCCCACTCTGAGGAGTTTGCCTGGCTGAGGACTACAGCCTGAGGCTATATATGAGACTGAGACTTAACAGTCAGCCTGCAGGCAGTGGTGGATCTCTGGGTGTTTTGAGTCTTTGCCAGACCTGCTCCTTTGCTCAATCAAGTAAAACAAGACCTTGGTATACAGATTAGTGCTTTACATACACACACAGTCCCAGCAGGAGGACTACAAGCTGCAGTTCACTCTGAAGAGGCCCAATGCAGCTCACTCTGAAGAGGCCCAACAACCAAAAAAACCATGGTCAGCTTTAGTCAACAACAGAGCAGGACCCAGTAAGCTTCACAAGTAGTATATCCACATAGAGATTTTGTTAGGTCCTAAACCTTGCTGAAGTGACTTGTGCTTTGCATTATAAGCACTGCACAGAAGCCCATATGTTGTGTTGGGGGATAAGCATCACTGTCAGTTAGTCTGAGGGTCGAGCCGATGCATGAATGGTCCAGTAGTAATCAAGATTCTGTGCAATAGGAGTGTCCACACAAAATGTACCAGGGACATTATTAGAGCACTCAGGTCTGGCAATCAGGGAGATTGTGCCACTGGGTCCCACAGGTCACTTACTACATAAGACGACTCTTTCAAGACTGGGAGTCATAGCAGATCTACCTAATACATAGAAACAAACACAAATGGGCAGCAAAAATACGGAGACAAAGAAACAAGCCTCAAATGAAAGAAGAAGAGAATTATCCACAAGAAGACCTAAGTGAAATAGAGACAGCAATTTATCAGATATGTAGTTCAGAATAATGATTATAAGGATCCTCAATACAAGATATAGAAACCAAAAATGAACAGCTGGAAATGAAGAATGACATGGCAGAGATAAAGAATACACTGGAAGGAATAAACAGCAGATTGGAGGAGTAGATCAGTGAATTAGAAGACAGGGTAGAAAAAAATAACTCAGAGAATTGAAAGAGAAAAAACAATTAAACAACAGGATAGGTTAAAGATGTTATGGGACAACATGAAATGTAACAACATCTGCCTCATAGGAGTGCCAGAAGAAGAAAATGAGCAAGGGTTAGAGAACCTGTTTGAAGAAATAATCCTAACTTGGGGAAGAAAAAAGTCACATAAGTCAGGAAGCACAGAGCATTCCAAGTAAGAACCCAAAGTGGTCCACACCAAGACACATCGTAATTAAAATGCCAAAAATTAAATACAGAGAGAATCTTAAAGCCAGCAGGAGAAAAGTAAAGTATTACATGCAAAGGAGCTCCCATAGACTGTCAGTTGATTTCTCAAAAGAAATACTACTGGTTAGAAGGGAAGGTATGAAGTATTCAAAGTAATGAAAAGTAAGGATCTGAAACCAAGATGACTGTATTTAGCAAGGCTATCATTTAAAATAGAAGGTGAAAAAAGCTGCTCAGAAAAAAAAAGGCTAAAGGAATTCATTGCCACCAAACCAATATTGCAACAAATGTTAAACTCACTGCTATAATAATATAAAGAAATATGTAGAGAGAAACATAGGCATACAGAATTAAAAGGGTAATAAAGAAGTATCTATCGCCCTGGCTGGTTTGGCTCAGCGGTTAGAGCGTCAGCCTGCGGTCCACAGAGACCCGGGTTCGGTTCCCGCTAGGGGCATGTACCTTGGCTGCAGTTTGTCCCTGGCCCTGGTTGGGTCGTGTGGTTGGCGGCCGCTCAATGTGTACCTTTCACATCGATGTTTCTCTCTCTTCCTTTCTCTCCTTCCCTCTCTATCTGAGTAAAAAATGGAAAGGTGTCCTCGGGTGAGGATAAAAAAAAAAAAAAAAAAGTATCTATCAATAATGACCTTAAATGTAAATAGAATTAATGCTCCAGTCAAAAGACATAGTGTATCTGGATGAATAAGAAAATATGACCCATATATATGCTGTCTACCAGAGACCCATTTTAGAACAAAAGACTCACACAGATGCAAGTAATGGGATGAAAAAAAATTTCCATGAAAGTTGAAACAAAACAAAGCTGGGGTGACAGTAATCATATATGATAAAATAGACTTCAAAATGAATGCCATAATAGGAGACAAAGAGACTACATAAAACTAAAGGAATTGATCCAACAAGATATTATCCTGGTAAATACACACACACACACACACACACACACACACACACACAATATGGAAGCACCAAATGTATTTTAAAACTTTAAGGGAGAGGTTGACAGCAATACAGTCATAGTAGGGGACTTGAACACCCCACTGACAGCACTGGATAGATCTAGACAAAAAAAAAAAAAAGATCAACAGAGAAAGATTGTAAATGATACATAGATAAGATGGATTTAATTGATATTTACAGAACATTTCACCCCAAAGCTACAGAATATACATTCTTTTCAAGTGCACATGGGAAATTCTCAAAGATAGACCACATGTTAAGGACACAAATTAATCCTCTACAAGTTTAAGAAGAGTGAAATCACATCAAGCATCTTCTAGGATAATAATGGTGTGTAACTAGAAATCAATTACAAAAAAAAAAACAACAACCCTGAAAAAAACATTCAACACATGGCAGCTAAATAGCAGTGAGATCAAGGAAGAAATTGAGAACTTCCTGGATAAAAATGAAAACACACAACACAAAATTTATGGCACACAGGGAAAACAGTCCTGAAAATGAAATTCATAACACTACATACCCACTTCATGAAACAAAAATCTGTAATTATTTAACCCTACATCTTAAAAAGTAAAAAGAGAATGAGAAAAGCCCAGAGTAAGTAGAAGGAAGGAAGTGATAAAGATCAGAGCATAAATAAATGGCAGAGACCAAAAAACAATACAAAAGATTGATGACCTTTAGCCAGACTCACCAAGAAACATAGGGAGAGTACCCAAATAAATAAAATAAGAAAGGAAAGAGATGAAGTGACAACTGACACCACAGAAATACAAAGGATTGCAAGAAAATACTACGAATAATTGTATGCCAACAGATTGCCCAACCAAGGCAAAATGGGCAAATTCCTAGAATCATACAATTTCCTGCATTCAATTAGGAAGAATCAGAAAACCTGAACAGAGCAATAACAAGGAAATTAAAGCTAATCAGTAAATTCCTAGCAAACAAAAGCCCTTGTCCTGGCAGGTTTACATGGGATTTTACCAAACATTCAAAGAGTACTAACACCTATCCTCAAACTATTCCAAAAAATTTAAGAGGAAGGAAGATTTCTAAGTTATTGTCATTAGGCCATCATAATCATAATTCCCAAACCAGATAAAGATACTACAAAAGAAAGAAAGTTACAGGCGAATATTCCTGATGAACATAGATGCCAAAATCCTCAACCAAATATTAGCAAATTGTATCCAGCTGTATATTAAAAAGATCATTCACCATGATCAAGTGGGATTTATCCCAGGGTTCTGAGGCTGGTACAATATTCACATATCAATTATTGTTATACACCACATAAACAAAATGAAAGATAAAAACCATATGATCATATCAGTAGATGCAGAAAAAGCATTTGACAAAATCCAGCATCCATTCTTGATAAAAACTCTCAGCAAAATGGGATCATATCTCAACGTAATAAAGATCACATATGACAAATCTACAGCCATCCTACTCATGGGCAAAAACTAAAAGCATTTTTCTTAAAAACAGGAACAAGAAAGGGATGTCCACTTTTACCACTCTTATTCAACATAGTATTTGAAGTCTTAGTCACAGCAATCAGATAGTAAGGAAAAATAAAAGGAATCCAAATTGGAAAGGTGGAAGTTAAACTGTCATTATTCACAGGTCATATATTGTATCGACAAAATCCTAAATAGTCCACCATAAAATGACTAGATTTAATAAGTGAATTTGGCAGAGTAGCAGGATAAAAATGAACACCAGAAATCGATGACATTTTTATTCTGCAATAACGAACACTCAGAGAAACTAAAAAAACATCCCATTTACCATTGCAACAAATAAGCTAAGATACTAGAAATAAACTTAACCAAGGAGGTTAAAGACCTGTTCTCAGTAAACCATAGGACATTGAAAAAAAAATAAAGGAAGATATAAAAAAGTGTTAGCATATACATGTTTATGGATTGGAAGAAGCAGTACCATTAAAATGTTTATACTACCCAAAGCAATGTATAGATTCATTGCAATCCCTCTTAAAATACCAATTGCCTATTTCACATATCTAGAACAGATACTCTAAAAGTTTATATGGAACAAAAAAGATCCTAATAGCTGCAGCAATCTTTAGAGAGGAGAACAAAGTTGGAGGGATCACAATACCGGATGTTGGGTTATACTACAAAGCCAGTGTCATCAGAACAACCTGGTACTGGCTCAAGAACAAGCATATAGATCAGTGGAACAGAACAGAGAAACCAGAAATCAACCCAAGACATTTTATATTTGAGAAAGGAAGCCAGAACATACAATGGAGTAAAGACAGTCTCTTCAATATATGGTGTTGGGAAAATTGGACAGGTACGTGTAAAAAAACTGAAACTAGACCACCAACTTACACCATAAACAAGGATAAAATCAAAATTGTTAAAAGACTTAAATATAACCATGAAACCATAAAAATCCTAGAAGAAAACGTAGGTAGCAAAGTTTCAGACATGTCACATAATAGTTTTTACTGATAAATCCCTTAGGGCAAGATAAACTAAGCAGAAAATAAACAGATGGAATTACATAAGACCTAACAGCTTCTACACAGTAAAAGAAACCAGCATCTAAATGAAAAGGGAACCCATTGTATGGGAGAACATATTTGCCAATGATACATCAGATAAAAGGTTAATTTCCAAAATGTATTGACTATTCATACAACTCAACAACAAGAAGTTAAACAATCCAATTAAAAATGGGCAGAGACCCTGAATAGACGCTTCTCCAAAGAAGACATACAAGTGGCTAAATGACAGGAAAAAAAATGCTCAATGTCATTAATCAGAGATATGCAAATGAAAATGATTATGAGGTATCACCTCACTCCTGCCAGAATGGCTAAAATACAAGTGCTAGCAAGGATGTAGAGAAAAGGGTACCCTGGAACACTGCTGGTGGGAATGTAGACTGGTTCAGTCACTATGAAAAACAATATGGTGTTCCTCAAAAAATTAAAAATGAAACTGCCATTTAACCCAGTGATCTCACTTCTTGGAATATATCCTGAAACATCAATCAGAAAGAACTTATGCACTCCTGTGTCCTTAGCAACGCTATTTACAATAGCTAAGATCTTGAAACAGCCCAAGTTTTGATCAGTAGATGAATGGATAAAAAAACTGTGTTACATTTACACAATAGAATACTATGCAGCTGTAAAAAAGAAAGATCTCTTTGAGACCACACTGAGGGACCTGGAGAGAATTGTGCTAAGCAAAATAAACCGGTCATTGAAAGCCAAGTATCACGTGATCTCACTTACATGTGTAGTCTAATAAACAAACTAAACTAATGAACAAAATTGATCCAGAGACAAGGAAGGTAGGGAACAGACTGATGAACCTGAGAGGAAAGGGTGCAGGGCTGGGGGACAGAAAGATAAAAAACAAAGAACTTATATACATATATGCATAACCCATGGATGCAAAAGTAGTGTGGTGAGGTTGGGGTGGGGGTTGGGGGCAGGGGTGGTGAAGTGTCATTTGGGGAAAAAAGGAAGGACTTCTGTTAATACTTTTCAACAATAAAGCTACATTAAAAAAATAGAATGATTTACATACATCTTTTACATAGGTTGGTATAAGGTAGTTAACAGTAAACAGTGAACTCAATAACAATGAGAGGATGTGTGGTTTCTGCAGAGCAGTGCCTAGGGCAGTGCCTTTGCTTTGAGGAATCAGGAAAAGGGAAAATTACTTTGACATTCCAAAGATATGTTATCATAGATGCAAAAAGACAATAGACAGGCTCAGTTAGTGTAAAGATTGACCTTTGTCAAGGAAGATACTGGCCTAGGACATGACTACTCAGCATAACCTGCTTTTAGTTAAAAAGTTTTAATTTTAAACCATCCTAGTTTAGGTCTTTGTTTGTAAGGTTGCCACACAGGCCTCCCCTGAACTTGTCAGGTTTAGTATGTGACCCCTTTTTGTCCACAAAGGTTTGAGGTTTTGTTATTTTGGTAAGTATGGATCCTCCTGACCTAATATGTGGGAAAGCTAGTATGACTGTTTCTAAAGATGTGGCTTCTTACTTGCTTCCTTGCACTTAGATGTTGGCCTCAGTAGCATGAAACGAGCTACTTAGACACATTTACTCCATGCATGAACCATACCTACTTCCCCTTTCACTTGCATGCATTATTTGTTACCAAATTTGATATTATTTATTTTTTATCCTCACCCGAGGACATTTTTCCATTTTTTGTTCAGATGGAGTGGGAGGAAGAGAGAGAGAGAGAGAAACATTGATGTGAAAGGGACACATTGAGTGGTTGCCACCCGCATGACCCAACAACCAGGGCCGGGGACAAACTGCAACCGAGGTACATGCCCTTAGCGGAAACCGAACCCGGTCTCTCGGGACCGCAGGCCGACACTCTGACTGTTGAGCCAAACCTGCCAGGGCAAATTTGATATTATTTATAAACAAATAATTTATGTATTCTTAACACTCCTTATTTTATTAACATGTGAGTTTTACAAATAGGCACCTGCCTCTACTAAAATAAAGACTGACAAATTATTCAGGTCTTGAAGGAATTTAAACCTTGCTAAATCTTGGTCTTTTTGTTAAGTGATAGATAATACAATCGTTAATTTCTGGCAATTCTTTAATTTAATTGTCCTTATATTTAATATATATAGATAATCTTATATTATAAATCCTTTTTATTAAAGACATTTTTATGCGCACATAGAGAAGATTACAAACCCACATGTAACACCACCCACATCAACAATTATTTGTTATTTCAAATAGTCTTGTGTAAGTGATCCAGTTATATATGCAATTTATTATGATTTTCTAAAAGGAATGAAAAGGTATTGGTTGGATATAATTAGATACTAATTTGTATTACTTCCTTTCTTAGGATTATCCTTCTATTGCTCACCTTGTCCAGAAACTAAGTGAAAATAACATTCAGACGATTTTTGCAGTTACCGAAGAATTTCAGCCCGTTTACAAGGTATATGACATAAAAAGAAGAACAAACTTATGACATAAAAAGAAGAACAAACTTCTAGAGCCTAGTTATTTGAGGAAACATTTTATGTCTGAATTCAGTAGTCTAGACAGACTGGATTTTACAGAAGTGGTTTATGTTAATTCTTTTATTTATTTATTTATTTATTTTATTATTTTTGCATTTTTCTTCAGATAGAGCGGGAGGGAGAGAGGGGGAAGAGAGAGAGAGAAACATCGATGTGAGAGACACACATCGAGTGGCTGCCACCCACATGACCCCACCCGTGGCCAGGGACAAACTGCAACCGAGGCACATGCCCTTAGCGGGACCAAACCCGGGATTCTGGTCTGCAGGCTGATGCTCTAACTGCTGAGCCAAACCGGCAAGGGCTATGTTAATTCTTAATACATGTTATAAAGCTAGATTTTTTTTTTTCAGGTCTGACCTCTTATGTTACATAGGAAATATATAGGGAACTGATGTTTTAAAAATAAGTAATAGGTGCTCAGTGGGTGCTTACTGGTTGAATAAATATATTTATATTTTATGTTTATCTTTTAATTGTAGGAACTGAAAAATTTAATCCCTAAGTCAGCAGTAGGAACATTATCTGCAAATTCCAGCAATGTAATTCAGTTGATCATTGATGCATACAATGTAAGTACATTTTAAGTAAGGTGTATTTGGACAATACCTTGTGCTCAAAGACAGTAAAACTACCTCATATGCAATTTAGCAAAACCCAGAGAACAACCTAAAATTTAAATTCTATATATCTGGTGGAAAATACCATATTCTCTTAAAAATGTATAATTACTTAATATAGTCTAAACAAAGCAAAATTATGGTAAAGGCATGTGGTGAAAATTTCTGAATATCTATTTAAATGTCATTAAGCAATAAGTCTCCTTGTTGGAAAGCAAATGGGAAACATCTCACATTTAGACTTAAAGGATTATCTCAATTTTCTTTTTGCTCCCCAAGTATCCTTTAGAGGCTCATCTGTTTTGATGAATTGTACTAGAAAAGGTTTTTTACCAAATCTTTTCTTGCCATATATTCAGATGATATAGTTTTCTATTCTCAAGAAGTACATATATCATAAAATATATATTCAAATGTAAATATATATATGACTTACCTATTTTAAAAAGATTTATAAGATTTTTTTCTTACACATAGAAGGAAGTTGAACTGAAGTTAGAGAGGAATTGTTTGCTCCATCTAGAGCTTAATTAAGAGTACCTTTAGTAATACTCATTAAATATTGGTTAATCATAATTTTAAGTAATCTGAAGGAATTTGTAGCATTGGTAACCATTGTGTGTTGTATATTTCACTTCTCCTCTTCCCTTGACAGGTTGAATTTTAGATATATTTTTTAGTTCATATCAGAGGTTTCCAAAATGTTTTAGGAAGACCCTACTCAAAGAGAAAGAGTTTTGTTTTGTTTTTTTTATAGATTTCCATGATTACAGTTGTTTCATGTCTTCCCCATAGTTGTTCTAGTTCTCCATCTTAACAGCATAAATTCCCTGCAGTGTAGGGGTGTGTACAAGCAATATCTTGCTGCTACAGCCTTTTGTGTTTTCCTGAGCAGTCTGATATTCTAAAAAAGCACTAGTTTGAATCCTTCTTACTTGGGGCTATTGGTGTTTTTGTTTGTTTGTTTTGTTTTGGCCAGGGATACCATAGTTTCTAAACAAATTTTTTCCCGGACTGTATAGTAGATTGTTTACCTTAGTCTCATGTTAGCTGTAGTCATAGTGCCATATTGCCAGTGAGGAAAGCAAATGTTGGTTCTGAGTTCTTAGAGGACTCCTCATAATTAATATCAGGCTTGTGTGCTATATGATTATTACTATTTTAACTCAGTAATTAAAATACAAATACTCTCACTTTTCAATCATGTATATTAGTTTGAAGACTTGATCCTTATGAATTAGAGCCTGTTTCTCTAGGTTCTGTGTTTTCTTGACACTCGGGATTTGGTTTCAAATATTTTATTTAAATGATATTGTTTTCTTAATGGTTTATTTTCCCCATTGGTTTTATGCATTCAACTTATTTTATAGTAGCATTTTGTTTGCCTTTCCTATGTATAATTTCTCTTTGTTTTAGTCCCTTTCCTCAGAAGTAATTTTGGAAAACAGCAAATTGCCAGAAGGAGTAACAATAAATTATAAATCTTACTGCAAGAATGGAGTGAATGGAACAGGGGAAAATGGAAGAAAATGCTCAAATATTTCCATTGGAGATGAGGTAGGTTGTATAAACATTTCCTGAAGAAATGAAAAAAATTGCTTTTTATATAAGCAGTCTAGTTTATAACTTGAGAATAAAAGAAATGAGCTTTTTGAAATATTTTTAGTAGATTTAAATTGCTTAGTTGTTAACTTCAAACTTAATCTTGTTTTTTCCTTTAAGGTTCAATTTGAAATTAGCATAACTTCAAATAAATGCCCAAATAAGAATTCTGAAACCATTAAAATTAAACCTCTGGGCTTCACTGAAGAAGTAGAGATTATTCTTCAGTTCATCTGTGAGTGTGAGTGCCAAAGTGAAGGCATCCCTAGCAGTCCAAAGTGTCATGAAGGGAATGGAACATTTGAGTGTGGAGCTTGTAGGTAAGCTGGAGGCGGATGGAGGACACACAGAGGTATTGATTACTTTGGAAAGATATAAGTAGGTTATGTTTTGGGATATCCAAAGAAAAATCTTTATATGGAACAAATACATTTTTTGTGTAATTGCTGTTGCTCACCAAAAGATCAGTTTTACAATCTTGTGTGTGATACTTATAGAATGTTCTTTTTTTTCTTAAGACTGCTCTTTAAAATAAAAACTTTTTAAAAAATCCTTGCCTGAGAATATTTTTCCATTTATGTTCAGATTGAGTGGGAGGGAGAGAGAAAGAGACATATTGATTGGTTGCCTCCCACATGACCCCGACCAGAGCCTGGGACTGAACCACAACCAAAGTACATGCCCTTGACCGGAATCGAACCCACAACTCTTTGATCCACAGGCTGACACTCTAACCCCTGAGCAAAACTGGCCAGGGCTAAAATAAAAGATTTTATAGCCATTCAAGATGTATGCTTAACAAACTGTTAAGGTAGTGTTTGGATTTTTTTCTCTTATAATAGCAATCTAAGTGTTCTATAGCTAAATAAGCTTATATATAAATATGTTTATAAAAATTGCTTTGGGCCTGGGCATTGTGGCTCAGTGGATTGAGCATTGTCCCATGGAGTAAGAGGTGCCAGTTTGATTCCCAGTCAGGGCACATGCCTGAGTTGTGGGTTTGATCTCCAGTGTGGGTCATGCAGGAGGCAGTTAATTGAAGTTTCTCTCTCTCATCGATGTTTCCGTCTCTCTCCCTTCCTCTCTCTAAAAAATCAATAAGAATATATATTTTGTAAAAATACTTCGGAAAAGTATATCAAACTTCTAATGGTGATTTAATCTGGGATATGGAATTAGGAAGCAATTAAAGGATGGTCACCTTGTACTGCATACATACTTCTGCATGGTTGGAGTAATTTTTAAAGAATGAATACATTTTGTAAAATTTAAAAGAAAACAGTATTTCAGAACTTAGAATCAAATTAATTTTAATCAAATTATTTTAAAATTTGTTTTTACACTGTGATTAGTTTAGTTAAAAGTTAAAATGGAAAATACTCTGAATACACCTTTCCCCCTAATAAAAGGAGAGTATTTTGATTAAATGTCAGCCCCAAATGACTGGGCTCTTAAGGTTTTCAATCATGAGAAAAATAAGTAGCTTTATTTTATCATCAGTTATTTACTACCTGTTTTAAATACCAGTTAAAATGTTGCATTTTAATGTTCATGTACATGAGTCATGTTGATCCATTTTTAGTAAGACTTCACTTAAATGAAAAGATTATCTTAAAAATGTTTGCCTTCCTTCCCTCTATATAAAATTACCAGGTACAGAATTAGTGTATTCAGTGTCTATAAGCATTAGGTGTTTTAAAAATATACAGTGTGTCTGAAAAGTGGACCCATAGGACAAATTTGTTTCCAAACAGTATGTCACTTCTGTTCTCAAGTGATATGCGCAGTGCTTTTCTTCAACTTCCATGCAGTGTGTTTGGGGTGTATTTATTATACTTTTAAATTTTCATTTATTTAGTTTTAAATTAATTAATGATTTAATTAGTTAAATTTGTTAAATTAATTCATTAATTAATTTGTTAAAGGTGTTTCTCCTTTTCTCCCATTGACACCCTCCTTCCAATTCCCTGGCCCCAACAGCATTGTTTTCTTTGTCTGTTGGTTATGCATATATGCATATAAGTTCTTTGGTTTATCTCTTCCCTCCTCACAACACCCTCCTCTGAGGTTTGTCATTCTGAATCCTACTTCTATGTCTCTGGGTCTGTTTTTGTTCAGCTTATTTTGTTCATTATATTCCACAAATAAGTGAGATTGTATGATATTTGTCTTTCACTGGTTGCCTTATTTCACTTAGCATAATACTCTCCAGGTCCCTCCATGTCGTGTCAAATGATAAGGAGATCTTTGTTACAGCTGCATAGTATTCCATTGTGTATATGTACCACACCTTTTTTTTTTTTTTTATCCATCCACCACCTATTGATGGACACTTGGGCTCTTTCCAGATCTTAGCAATTGTAAATAGTGCTGCTATGGACATACAGGTACACATATTCTTTCTGATTGGTGTTTCAGGCTTCTTAAGATATATTCCTATAAGTAGGATCATTGGGTCAGATAGTAGTTCAATTTTTAATTTTTTGAGGTAACACCATATTGTTTTCCATAGTGGCTGCACCAGTCTGCATTCCCACCAGCAGTGTACTGGAGTTCCCTTTCCTCCACACCCTTGCCAGCACTTGTAGTTTGATGATTTGTTGATGGAAGCCATTCTGGCAGGTGTGAGGTTTTAATATGCATCTTTCTGATGATTAGTGGCATTGAGCATTTCTTCATATGTCTCTTGGCCATTTGTATGTCCTTTTTGGAGAGGTGTGTATTTAGGTCCTTTTGGCCCATTTTTTAATTGGATTCTTTGTCTTCCTTTTGTTGAGTTGTATGAGACTTCCAATCCATGAACAAGGTATATACTTCTACTTTTTTATATTTTCCTCTATTTCTTTTTTTAATATCCTGTAGTTTTATGCAAACAAGTACTTGACTGCTTTGGTTAAGGTTATTCCTAGGTATGTTAATTTTTTTGCTGCAATAGTAAATGGGACTGTTTTTTTTTTTAGTTTCTTTTACTGTGAGTTCATGATTGGTGTATAAGAATGCCATCAATTTCATGATGTTAATTTTGTATCCTGTTACTTTGCCTAATTTGTTTATTAAATCTAGTAGATTATTGATGTAGTCTTTAGGGTTTTCTATGTATAATATCATGTCATCTGCAAATAATGACAGTTTCACTTTCTTCTTTCCAATTTATATCCTTTTTATTTTTCTTTCATGTCTAGTTGCTGTGGCTAAGACTTCCAGTACTATGTAAATAAGAGTAGTGAAAGTGGGCATCCCTATCTTGTTCCTGTTCTTAAGGGAAATGCTTTTAGTTTTTGCCCATTGAGTATGGTGTTGGCTATAGGTTTTTCATATATGCCCTTTGTTATGTCAAGATATGATCCCTCTACTCCCATATTGCTGAGTATTTTTATCAGAAACTGATGCTGGATTTTGTCAAATGCTTTTTCAGTATCTATTGATATGATCACATGGTTTTTATCTTTCTTGTTTATGTAGTGTATCACATTTATTGATTTGCGAATATTATACCACCCTTGTATTCCTGAGATGAATTCCACTTGGTCATGGTGAATAATATTTTGAATGTATTGTGGATCCAATTTACTAATATTTTGTTAAGGATTTTGGCATCTTTGTTCATCAGGGATATTGGCCTGTAGTTTTCTTTCTTTGTAGTGTCTTTATATGGTTTTGCAATTAGAATTATGATGACCTCATAAAACGAATTTGGAAGTGTTCTTCTTGGATTTTTTTTGGGAATAGATTAAAGAGAATGGGTGGCAGATGTTTGGATGTTCGGTAAAACTCCCCCATGAAGCCATCTGGGCCAAGACTTTTGTTTGCTGGGAGATTCTTGATTACATTTTCAATTTCCTTAGTTGTTACTGGTTTGTTCAAGGTTTCTATTTCTTCCCAGTTCAGTTTTGCAAGACTGTGTATTTCTAGAAATTTGTGCATTTTGCCTAGATCGTCCAATTTGTTGGCATATAAATGTTCATAGTATTTTTTAACAATCCTTTGTCTTTCTGTGGAGTCAGCTATTACTTTTCTTTGTGATTTTGGGTTCTAATTTTTGTTTCTTTTTTTTTTTTAAACCTCACCTGAGGACATTTTAACATTTTTTGTTCAGATAGAGTGGGAGGGGCAGAGAGAAAGAGAAACATTGACGTGAAAGGGACACATCGAGTGTTTGCCACCCGCATGACCCAACCAGGGACGGGGACAAACTGCAAGCGAGGTACGTGCCCTTAGCGGGAACTGAACTCGGGTCTCTCTGGACCGCAGGCCGCCGCTCTCACTGCTGAGCCAAACCGGCCAGGGCCAATTTTTGTTTCTTGATGAGTCTGGCTAAGGGTCCATCAATCATATCTTGTCAGAGAACCAGGTCTTTGTTTCATTGATTTTTTGAATTGTTTTTATTTTTTTTGTCTCTATGTCATTTATTTCTGCTCTGACCTTTCCTGTTTCTTTCCTTCTACTTGCTCTGGATTTTTCTTTTTGTTTATTTTCTAGTTTTGTAGGTTGTAGAGTTAGATAGTTAAAAATTTTTCTTTTATCTTGAGGTAGACCTGTAATGCTATGAACTTCCCTCTCAGGACTGCTTTTGCCACGTCCCATAGATTTTGTGTCGTTGTGTGTTTATTTTTATTGGTTTCCAGGAAGTTTTTAATTTCTTCTTTGATCTCTTTGGTAACCCACTTATTGTTTAAGAACATGTTATTTAACTTCCATGTATTTGAATGTTTTTCAGTGTTTTTATTGTAATTGATTTCTAGTTTCATGCCATTGTGATCTAAGAAGATACTGGATATGATTTCAGTCTTCCTGAACTTGCAGAGACTTAGTTCGTGTCCTAACATGTGGTGTGTCTTTGAGAATGTTCCATGTGCACTTGAGAAAAATGTGAATTGTGCTGTTTTGGGGTGTAATTCTCTGTAGATGTCTATTAAATCTATTTGATCTAGTTTCCTTGCTAATTTTTTGTCTAGAGAATCTATCCATTGATGTCAATGGGGTGTTGAAGTCCCCTGCTATGATTGTATTGCTGTAGATTTTTCCTTTGAAGTCCTCCAGAAGTTTTTAAATGTATTTTGGTGTTCCTTTGTTGGGTGCAAGTATATTTACCAAGATTATGTCCTCCTGTTGGATATGCTTTTTCAATATTATGTGGTGACCTTCTTTGTCTTCAGTTATGGTCTTCATTATGAAGTTCATTTTATCGGATATGAGTAGTGCTACCCCGGATTTTTTTCATTTTCGTTTGGTTAGAAATTTTTTTCCATCCCTTCACCTTCAATGTATGTGAGTCTTTTGTTGTGATGTGGGTCTCTTGCAAACAACATATATATGAGTCATGCTTTTTTATCCAATCAGCTATTCTGTGTCTTTTGATCAGAGCGCTCAATCCATTTACATTTAAGGTTATTATTGATTTGTACCTATTTATTGCCATTTTTGTTTATTATTTTTATGTTTCTCTTCCTGTTTCTTCCACTACTTGCAGCAGTCGTTTAAACATTTTTTCGCAGTGCTAGTTTGGTGCTAATATATTACCTTAGCATTTTTTTTTTTTTTTGTCTCAGATGCTCTTTCTTTCACCTATTTTGAATAGAGTAGTCTTTGATTCAGATCCTTGTTTTTCATTACCTTGATTACTTCATGCCAATTCCTTCTGGCCTGTAGTGTTTCTGTTGAGAAGTCAACTGATAACCTTATGGGCGTTCCTTTCTAGGTAACCTACTGCTTATCTCATGATGCCTTTAGGATTCTCACTTTGTCTTTAATTTTTGGCATTTTAATTATTATGTGTCTTGGTTGGGTGTCTTTGGGTTCTTACTTGGGGCTCTCTGTGCTTCTTGAACTTGTATGCCTTTTTCCTTCACTAAGTTAGTGAAGTTTTTTGTCCTTGTGTCTTCAAATATATTCTCTAACCCTGGCTCATCTTCTTCTTCTCCTGGAACTCCTGTGATGCAGAAGTTGTTATGTTTCATGTTGTCCACAGTTCTCTTAAACTGTCTTCCTGTTTCTTAATTGTTTTTTTTCTTTTTGATTCTCTGATTGGGTGCCCTTTTTTTACTCTGTCTTCTAATTCACCAATTTGATCCTTAGCTTCCTCTACTGTGCTGGCATTTCAGTATGTTCTTTATTTGTGCTATCTCAGTCTTCATTTCTGCTTGGTGGATTTTCAGTGTTTCTATATCTTACTTATGCTATTGGGCTCTTTACTCATTGTGTTGAGCTTCCTCATAATCATTACCCTGAACTCTACCTCTGGTATCTTGCTTAATTGCATTTCATTTATCTCTTCTGTAGAATTCTCTTGTTCTTTCATTTGGGATTTGTTTCTTTGTTTTACCATTTTGGCTTTCTCAGTGGGTTTTGGAGTCTGCCAAAATTTTCCTGTGGGTGTTGGTGTTCTGCTGTTTGTGGCTTTCTCTCTTGGGTTTGGATGAGTGTGGGAGGACCCACGTTAAACACCATTGTCACGTTTTACTTTCCTGGGTGATTTGCAAGCCAAAGAAAAGTTCACTTATCCTCTAGCTTTTGCCTGGAGGCTGTTAGTCTCAGTTACTTGATGAGCCTTGGTTGTAATCCTCAGCTGAATGAATAATCCCTCAAGTGTACAGGGTAAGCAGTTAAGGCAATGGCTTTATTTTGTAACCCCTCCTTGCTTGCTGGTAGTCTCTAGCTTTAATGAGCGTTAATTTGCATTTCTCTGGGCTGTCCTCTTGGTGGTAAATTCTGGAAGGAGGGGCAGTTTCTTCTTCCTGGGGCTCTGGGAAGGGGCTCTTTGAGTAAGATGGCTACTATCTTATGAGGGAGTGATTCAGCATAAAATTCCTGGTGTCCTTCCTACCTCTCTCCCTTGTGCCACAAACACCCGATGCTCTTAAACAGTTCCAATCCAGTCCTATCTCCCTTGCCAGAGTCCAAGGTGAGTGGCTGTAGTTGACTTAGTGCTCTGGCCCTTCTGGGAGGTGCCCTTTTTCCTGCGCTCCTCCATGCTGGACAAAGTCTCAGCTCCGGTGATTGCAGCTAGGTGTTATCCAGGTCTTTCCCTATCCTGCCACTGTGTGCTGAGGGGCTGCCCCTCTGTGCTGACGAACCGCCACTCTGCTTTGGAGCCAGCTTGAGGTTTCACAAAACCCCGACTTCTATGAAGGAACTGCTCACAGCTAAAACTGCCTCAGCTGCTGTCGGTGGGCTCCCAGCCCTCCCTCTTGCACTTCCATAATTCCCACGAGGCTTAGTGTCTTCTTCCTGGTCATAAGGGTTCTCTCTAGCTCCTTTTCAGTTGGTTTTTCCCAGTGATTTGTCTTTGTTTTAGTTGTAATTCCAGTTTGGTCCTGGGAAGCAGTCTGTGTAGCTTCCAGTTACTCTGCTGCCAGTTTTTTTTTCCTATTGAATTTTTTTTAGATTAACAATTGGACCGTGGCTTTAAATTTAGAGATACTTTACATATAATAGCAAATGTAATAGGGTATCATTTGAAAACATAACATTTTCTTTAAAAATAAGTTTATCCTGTTTCCAAAATAAATTTATCCTGTTTATTCACGTGTTTATTGCTAGCTTATATTTTCATTTTAGCTAAAAGGGTTATTCTGAGGAAAGGTTTTTTTTCCCAGACCCTTGCATCTACTCTGTAGGAACTTCAGTGGCTGGTATGTGTGTGCATATTTACACTTTTGTGTACAGAAACACTCCCATGTAATATGATTGTAGTTTAAAGACATTGTTCACAGTCTTATTTTCTCTCCCATTCTTTCTCACAGCTTAACTTGTTTTGCTATTTCTTTTATGTGATTGAAATTTTGAACTCTCTTTAGGTGCAACGAGGGACGAGTTGGCAGACATTGTGAATGTAGCACAGATGAAGTTAACAGTGAAGATATGGATGCCTACTGCAGGAAAGAAAACAGTTCAGAAATCTGTAGTAACAACGGAGAGTGTGTCTGTGGACAGTGTGTTTGTAGGAAGAGGGATAATACAAATGAAATTTATTCTGGCAAGTTCTGCGAGTGTGATAATTTCAACTGTGATAGATCCAATGGCTTAATTTGTGGAGGTGAGAATGGGGTTATAAAATGGTTATAAAATGTAATTCCCATCTAATACAATAAAAATGTTCAAGCTTGGTGAATAAATAGAAAAAAAGCACAGCATTGAGGGTCATTTCATTTCTTAGATACATTTTTTTGCATTATTGTTCAATTTTACTTTTAATTCAGTGCTCTAATTTTTATGTTTTACCATTGTTATGAGAAATGGTATTTTTAATTGCAGGAAATGGTGTTTGCAAGTGTCGTGTGTGTGAATGCAACCCTAACTACACGGGCAGTGCATGTGACTGCTCTCTGGACACTACTTCGTGCATGGCCACAAATGGACAGATATGCAATGGCCGGGGTGTCTGTGAGTGTGGTGCCTGTAAGTGCACGGATCCCAAGTTTCAAGGGCCAACTTGTGAAATGTGTCAGACCTGCCTTGGCGTCTGTGCTGAGCATAAGTAAGTATTCCTATTTGCTTGAAATACTTGATATTTACTGTTTGTTGTTCTAACTATGTATTATCACTAGATCTAGCACAGTAACTGTAGTAACTTACATTGTAAATAAAGTATCTGACACAGGAAAGCCACTCTTTAAATCTTAAAACTTCTTTCTCAATAGCGAGTGCTTGTTACATGGTGTTAAAATGTGTCATATGAGGGTGATACTGTTATTTTTATCTGAATTTGTTATATAATTGAATTCCTGTGGTAATCTTTGTTAAATTAGCATTACCAATTAATTACTATCTTTTTACTAAGCAAAATTGAAAGTTTTGCTCCTTGAAAAGCTGTTATTGGCTCTTATTGTATCAGCAACACATTGTTTAAATTACTTTGGTTTTGTTATATATTTAATATCTGATAGGGCTAGTTTTATTTTGCTACTCTTTTATTTATTTTGGGGAATTTTAGTTTGAACAGTAATAAATTATGTTTTTACTTGGGAAACTGGCATCTTTGTATTTAGTTTCTCATTGACAGATGTCATATGCATCTTCATTTATTCAAATCTTTCATAGCTCTTGGTTTAATTTGGTCAGATTTTGAGTCTAACCCACGAAATGATCTTTAAGCAAATACTTATTTTAAATAATAAATTTTAAATGTAATAATTTGTGTTTTAACAGAGAATGTGTTCAGTGCAGAGCCTTCAATAAAGGAGAAAAGAAAGACACATGCGCACAGGAATGTTCCCATTTTAACATTACCAAGGTTGAAAGTCGGGACAAATTACCCCAGCCAGGCCAGGTTGATCCCCTGTCCCACTGTAAGGAGAAGGATGTTGATGATTGCTGGTTCTATTTCACATATTCAGTGAATGGGAACAACGAGGCCATTGTACATGTTGTAGAGACTCCAGGTAGAAATCTGATCATTTCAAAATGCCTTTCATTTTCTTTTATGTCTTGTTTCTACTACTTAGGCCTATTGGCAGCTTTTCCAATACCCAGGAATGGCTTCCACCTTGATTATTTTAGGCTTAAGTTGGGACATTGCTAATCTTAAGTTTAAAATAGTGTTTAACTATATAAGAAATGAGGAAAAGAACAAATCAGTCTTAAGTTTTATGAGTGATGACTTTGAAGATTAAGTGCAATAATCCTCACAAAGCATGTAGCATGGTGCCTGACACTTAGTAGGTACTCAGTAAGAGTTATATCATTATTGATATCTAACTTTGAACTTGAAATAGGCTGGGACACTAGGAAAGATAATTTGTTAAGGGATATTATAAAGGGTGGTTTTGTTCAGTTTCTCAGAAGAAAAAAACATTTTTATCTTAGTGTTCTTAGGCGCTTTTTTTATATCTTTGTCTTTTTGGGGGAATGTAAGTTTTCATTTCTCTTAGATAAATATTAGGAATGGATTTGGGGGGATATTCTATGTATATGTTTATAAGGAAAAGCCAAACTGGTTTTTAAAGTCTTTGTATTGTTTTGCCTCTTCAGATTTGTGTTTTACAGTATTGTCTCCCAGTCCTTTCCTCCTTGTCTTTTCATTTTCTTAACAGGGTTTTTTGAAGACCAGAAGCTTTAATTTTAATTGAACTACAGTTTACCAAAAACTGTACCTTGCTTTTGTTATTTTATCTGAGAACTCTTTGCCTAACTTAAGTTTGTAAGGACTTTTCTTCTTCTAGAAGTTTTATAATTTTGGTTTTTCATTTACGTCTATACCCCTTTTGAGTTAATCTTAGTCTATGGAGTGAGATTTAGTCTTTTGCATATGCATATCCTGTAGTTCTTGTACCATTTGTAGAAAACACTGACCTTTCTAACCTTTATTGAAAATGAAATAACCTTATATGTATGGGCCTATTTCTGACTCCATATTCTATTCCGTTAATCTATGCAATTGTCTTTTAGCTAATATCACACTGTTTCAATTACTGTTACTTTACACTACTGTTGTAGTCTGGTATTGTAAGTAGTCCAACTTTGCTCTTTCCCAAAACTATTTTTTGTAATGCTTTCCTAGTTCTGTGCCTTTCTTGTAAATTTTATAGTTAATTTGCTGATATATGTAAAAATCCTACCAAGATTTTGGGATTGCATTGATTAAATTAGAGGAAAATTGATATCTAATGATATTGTGTCTTCAAATCCATGAACATAGAATAATTTCTTTCATCAGTGTTTAGTAATTTTTAGCATCCAGCAAATGTTGCACACATTTTGTTGGATTTATACATAACTGTTTTATGACTTTTAGAGCTATTGTAGAAGATACTGTTCTAAAATTCAATTTCCAGTTTGTAAAAATAAATTTTAAAGTATAGAAATACATAATGATTTTTTTTTTGTTTATTAATCATGTATCCTGTGGTCTTATAAAACTCATTCGTTAGTTCTAGTGTCTTTTTTTAATGGATTCTTTGGGGTAGTCTGCATTCACTTATCTTTTTATAAGAAACTGCCCAGTTCTTTATAGTTTTAGCTGTACTCTGCACACATTAATCCCTGGGGTGCTCAGTATTTTCTTTATACTTTACAGAGTGCCCCACTGGTCCAGACATAATTCCAATTGTAGCTGGTGTGGTTGCTGGAATTGTTCTGATTGGCCTTGCATTGCTGCTGATTTGGAAGCTTTTAATGATAATTCATGATAGAAGGGAATTTGCCAAATTTGAAAAGGAAAAAATGAATGCCAAGTGGGACACGGTAAGTTGCAAAACATCTAAAAAGTAAAGTGAGTCATAAAGTAAGTGTAATACTTCTGACACTTGTTTATTAAATCTAAAACTGATTATTAAAGTCCTCATTAAGTGTTTTTTTCTTCCATAAGTTTATTATTTATAGAACTTTATTATTTATAGAACTTACATTTAGTGAGAAACAAAACATCTTAAAATATATCCCATTAAAACAAAGTATTTTAAGAATGTATCCTTTGGTTACTGTGGTTAGTATTTTTATTTCCTTAATAATTTTGGTCTTAAATCTACTCTTCTGCCTTTTTGTCTCATGTAAAGTAGAATTCTATCAATGGAAAGATTTTCTCTCTTTCTTTTTTTCAACAAAGAACCTTAAGTGAAAGCAGCCAGACTCAAAAGGATATGTACTGTATGATTCCATTTATATGACATTCTGGAAAAGGCAAAACTATACAGGCAGAGATCAGATCTGTGGTTTCCAGGGCCTGGTGTGGGGGTAAAGGTCATGAGGGATCTTCTTGGGATGCCATGATTGTGGATATGTTTGTACATTTGAGAATTCATGGAACTGTACTTAAAAAGGATGTATTTACCCTCTGTAAATTATAACTTAATAAACCTTGCTTTATGGGAAAAAAAAATTAAAGCTGTTTATGGCTGAAAGTCTGCTAGCATTTAGGACTTTGAAATTTGGAGTCGGAGGTAAGGTGGCCAGATGTTGGCCCTTGTGTATTATTCATCTTTTGATAAAGGAAGGCTGTGACAAATTTCAGTATTTTTAAATTATAAATTAACTTTAGTCATTTGCATTATAGTACAATTTACTTGGGTTTTTAAAGAAGATAATGATTTTCAGAAGAATAAAAATAATAAAAAATTCTCTTTTATAGTGTTTAAACACTATACATGTCAATTTTTTCTGATGAAATCAATAGAAACTATTTCTTTTACTTTAGCAAGAAAATCCGATTTACAAGAGTCCTATTAATAATTTCAAGAATCCAAACTATGGACATAAAGCTGGTCTCTAAGTTGCCGTTCGTATTTTCTTTCATTTTCTGTCTTTGCATGTGAACTTTCATTATATTTGATTGCACTGTGTGTCCTTTATCACTATTGCTACTTTTTAAAAGTCTGGCTTTATTTATATGACTATATTATGGCTTTTCTTTTTGTGTGTTAATTTAGAGTTAGTGTTTAGAAGGGCTTTATAATCATGGCCTAGATGCAGCCAGCTGTGTTGTAGTGAAAAGAGAATGTGCTTTGTGGTCAGATTCACTAGGGTGAAATCCCAGCTCTTCCACTAGTAAGTAGAATAGTCGTGAGTCACTCACTTTCTAGAGCTTTAGTTTTTTATATCTTTAACAAGGAGTCTGTAATGTCTGTTGTGTGAAGTGGTTGTTTTTGGCTGACATGATATCACCATGTAGTTACAATCCTCACTATATACCAGTGCTTTATATGGTATTATATTTATAGAAAAAATTAATCATATGTAAGTTTTAGAGTGAAAAATGAATGTGAACTCTAAATAGCAAAAGAGACAAAAATAAATGTAACCTTGCATAACATTTGTTGGTTCTAGAACAATTTTGAGATTCATTATTCTTTATTATAACTTAAAATTCTATTAAAAACCAGATCTTTTATTTATATGTACACATGTTTTGGGTTGATTTTTGAATGAGTCTTAATATTCAAATATAACATTGAACTTTTTTAAAAAAGGAAACAAAGACGTTAACGCGAAAAATCCGATTACAGTTTTAAATAAAAACTTAGTTGAAAATGTCATAGTTGTAATAAGGCTTGCTCATCCTCTTCTGTAAGCTAGGGCAAGTTATTTTGATGAGTCTGTGTTTAACCTGGATGACGAATTTACCATTGACTCTTACCAGCAGTGGACAGCATTCTTCCTAATATGTGAATTTTCATGAAATGCTTTTAGCATATTTTAGTATAAGCTCCTAAAACTCTGTGATAAAAACATTGTGATTAGAACAAATTCTCCCAACTGGTGATCCAGAATTCTTCTTTCCTTCCCCCACTATTTTTATTCTTATTTCACATATGAGAAAACAGGCACAAGGAGGATTAAGTAACTTGACCCAGGTTCACGTCTGGTTAGTGGAAGAGCTGAGATTTAAACCCAGGCATTTGAGCTGCAGGTCATGTTATCCACTACATTGTACAGGTAGCAATCACATATTCTTCAGGAGACTATTACCTGGGTAGGAAGAGGCACATCACTCTATAGAAAACTGTAGCCTTTTGACAGTTGTTGTAAGTTAGAGTAACACTACTGTGTTGGGCAAACATAATATTGGGGAAATCACTTTATTACATAGAAACCAACACTGTAGTTTTGCTTATAAAATAATAATTAAGATCTTAATATAGGGATGTTTAATATTTTTAGACATATAGGAAGTATCAATAATAGAAACTGTTACTGGTCTGATTTTCCTTTTATTTCTAAACAGATTTTAAGACTTTTGAAATGGCAAAGTTAAATTTGATGGCAAAAAATTTTAGTCAGATTCATATATGGGCAGGTTGGTCCATTTTCATATTAGTCTGAGACTTGTCACATTCTTTTTCTTATCTAATACTTTCCAGAAAATCATTTTTAGAAGGAAACTGCCACTTGGATTTCTTTCTCCCTTTCTTTACTTCCATTCCTCCTTCCTTCCTTCCCTCTTTCTTTGTGTTAGGTCAAAAATAGTCAAATATTGATGATTTCTTACGGTTACATCTCATAGAAGAAGATATCCTACTACCAAAAGGTGAAATTTTCACCTTTTCTGTATGTTAAATTGTACTTTGAAGGAAAATATCAATAATAGTGAAACTTAAAGTTTGTATTGCTAACTTAATTTTTGGCTAAAATATTACGTTTTCAGCCAAAATAAGTATTTTGGATAATTCAAAAAGCAAAAGTAAAATGAATGTCTTTATTCATTAGTGAAATCTAGACAAACTAATAGCTACAGATTATTTTGAGTTTTATCCAGAAAAATTAAAGTAAAAATAAAAATTAGAAATTAATGACTGAATATCAAGAAATTAGATAAATAATGGCTTGTAAAGCACTTTTCTGATATGAGACCAAAGTTTGCCAATCAGTTATGTTATTAACATATTTTGGATAATGGGCAGCCACTGTAATTATTTCAGTACAAAGACTCATGTAGGCACACTAGAAAAATCAAAATATCAACTTTATAATTGTTAAAGTGGATTGAAAAATTGTCTAGTCTGTTCTCCCCTGCTGTATGTAAAGTAATTGGATTCCTAATCTCCCTCAGTTATGCATTGTATATTTAATATATTTTGTAGAGTTGATTCTGTAGCTGCCCCTGTCAGCTATTCTAGAGTAAGCACAAAGATGAAATTTTACTGACTACAGAGGATTTCATTGATGAATATAACCTATTCTTTTGATTTAAATAGGCTTTGCATTTTTGTTGGAATAGGGGTGGGGTTGCATTCTGAACAATGAAAACTAATCTGAATTATTTTAGTTTACCTCCATTTAAAATAATACCTAATGCAGATAGTTTCATTTTACCTCTAACCTTGCATGTTGAATTTTTGTTTGAATGGACTTTGAAATAATAAACGTAAATGTTTGTGTATATGGAAACTTTTCTCCAAAGGTAAGTTCTGTCATATAAATTGTATTTTGGGTTCATCATTAAGAATAAATATTTTTTCCTCTTTTGTTTATTTATTTATCTTTTATTATTTGTTTTTTTTGGTACCTCCTTTATAATTCTTAAGTATTAAATATTAGATTTCCTAATGCACTATTTCAGATAAACTTAAGTAAAGGATAATTTATTTCCCCAGCATATTTTAAAGAATGGGCAGTAGTACTATCATATGCAGATAGGAGGATAGAAATATCAAGTGTAACTTATTTGTACTATATTACTTGTTAAGAATGTAGTTGCTAGGATCGTTTTCTGTCTCCATTGTGAAATGTCTGCTGTAATTTTCCCTGATAGAGAACGATAGGCTGCATGTCTCACTTGACTTTCAAGCTGACTCCAGTTTATAAGAACAGGAGGAGAAAGAATGCTGTAGATAGCAGATATTTGAATGTATCAATTAGCATGAGACTTTTTAAAAATTTTTTTATCCTCACCCGAGGACATTTTTCCATTTTTTTTTTTGTACAGATAGAGTGTGAGGGAGAGAGAGAGAGAGAGAGAAACATCGACGTGAAAGGGACACATCGAGTGGCTGCCACCCGCACGACCAACCAGGGCCAGGGACAAACTGCAACCGAAGTACGCGCCCTTAGCGGGAACTGAACCCGGGTCTCTCCGGACCGCAGGCCAGCGCTCTAACCGCTGAGCCAAACCGGCCAGGGCAGCATGAGACTTTTTAAAGAAAATAGTAGTGTGAGGCTGTACATTATTTTCTTTTTTATTTAAAGTTTTTATTTTTCTTAACCTGAGCCACCCATCATGAATTTTTTTTTTTCTTTTTAATGTTTTACTTTTTTTTTTTTAAGTTACTTTCCTGCTTAAAACATCACTCATATTTTTGGATCTTGAAAGATCTTTTGTGTTTTTGGCTTAGAGTCATTTACTGGACTTGATTTCAGTTCTCTTTAGTAAATATGGTATTGCAATAAAAATAGAACATTTCACCAGTACATTATTGAAAAGTAATTATTTTGTGAAGAATGGTAATTATGTTTGTTTACATTCTAAGCAAATTTGGCAATGTGGTGACTTGGGGAAGGTGCTAGTGCCCTCAGTGACACTGACAGCCTTACCCTAGAACTCGCCAAATCAGTAACTTTTATGGAAGAACCTTAGCAGAACCTCCCTCCCTCACAGAAATGAAAACCAAGGATTCTCATTAATTATCATGCACCCTTTGTATACAATAAAGGCTTAAAAATTAGGCAATTGGTGGCAAAAGAGCTAATTCTTTCTTAAGACGGGTATTCAAAACTAGCTAAAAGAGAAACCGTAACAGTACTTTCTCTGTTATGGAGAACATTCTTGAATCAACTCTCCAAAGGAGGAAGGACTCAAGAATAAAATAATGCCAAATTCCAGGGGCACCTTTAGACCTGTAGAGCAAAGCTTTCATTTTTCATATTGGGTAAACTTTTATTCGTACCTTTTAAAAAAATTGAGTGCGGTATCTGAACCAATAAAATGGAAACGACTTCTGAAAATGACCATAGAGTAACTGATTATTTTCTCACTTTTTTTTTTTTTTAGGGTGAAAATCCTATTTATAAGAGTGCTGTAACGACTGTTGTCAATCCGAAGTATGAGGGAAAATGAGCACTACCTATACAAATTTTACAACACTGAATGCAAAGTAGTGATTTTCATAGTCACAGAGAAAAGTAGCTTTAGGGCAATGTCACCATGGGTTTTACTTGTGTAGGTTTTGAAAATGTACAATATGTATAATTTAATTTTTTTTATTATTTTGAAAATAATGTTATAATCAATGCCTAGGAATGACAAGACTTGAGATAGGATGGTTATCCTTGTCAGCTAAGGTCCCGTTGTGCCTTTTTGACCTTTTCTTCCTGTACTATTGAAATCAAGCTCTTATTGGATTAAGTGTTATTTCTAGAATGATTGAAAGGACAGTAGTTGAGTGTGATGAGAGTTTTTATTAATCAAGTATTCAAACTGTTTTGTAGCTTTACAGATATGTCCATTTTCAGTTATAAAAAATTCCAAAGTATCTTACTGGTTAGCTTAGAATTGTTTTAAATTAATTTTGTAATTTCCCTATAAGACATGATTTATGACATATCTGAAAGATGAATATTTTAGAAGTTAGTTTTGAAATATTTTATCTACAAAGGCCATGAGAAAATGGGAGAGTTAGGAAGGGAAAACAGCTTTAAAATATGTGTGCCATTTTAAGAATTACTTAATCTTAGAACTTTTATGCCTTCTGTTTATAAATTCAAGCCTTGGATAAAAGTATTGGGGATATTGTGCAAAAACTCCTTAATTTAGCATTATTTACCTAAAGCCTTAATTTACATAGCATTTTTTTGAATTGAGGGCTTTTGGGTGATTTTATTTTGTTTTGTTTAAAGCCTGGTGCTTTTTATCACCACTTCTACTCATTTAATGTATTTACAATTTTGAGGCAAGACTTTTTTTAAAATCAGTACTTTTTCTTTGATGTTTTAGCTGTAAATTTGCCTTTCAAATGAACATGTGAAGTTGTACTGTGGCTTAAACAACAGCTATCACTATACCAGTCATATTTGCAGTTAGTGCTATATAACAGACCACTGTATATTTACTCCTCACTGTTTGAGTTGCCCCTTTTGTTTCATACTAGTCACAATCTTATTTTAAGTGCCTTTTAATTTTAACAATTCACTTTTTACAATGCTGTTTACTGAAGTTATTTATTAAATAAAAATGCCTAAAATAACTTAAATTGTATGTTTTTATTCTATATTGATATATTTTGTCTGTTTGCATGACATTTTTTTTTTTTACCCTCATCCGAGGACATTTATCCATTTTTTGTTCAGATAGAGTGGGAAGGAGAAAGAGAGAGAGAGAAACATCGACGTGAAAGGGACACATTGAGTGGTTGCCACCCGCACAACCCAACCAGGGCCGGGGACAAACTGCAACGGAGGTATGTGCCCTTAGCGGGAACTGAATGAACCCGGGTCTCTCTGGACTGCAGGCGGACGCTCTAACTGCTGAGCCAAACCGGCCAGGGCTGCATGACATTTTTATAGCTTAAAGAGATTGATGTAAAAGATTTCTGGTTGATGGGTGTGTCACTTAAGAAGCTAAACCAGCTCTGGCCAGGTTGCTCAGTTGGTTGGAGTGTCATGCTGTACACCAAAAGGTAATGGGTTCAATTACTGGTCAGGGCACATACCTAGTTTTAAGGTTCCATTTTTGGTTGGAGTGTATATGGGAGGCAAACTATGGATGTTTCTTTGTTACAATGATGTTTCCTTCTCTCTCTTTCCTTTCTCTAAAAATGAATCAAAACATATCCATGGGTGGGTATTTAAAAAAACAACAACACTAAAATATAGTGTTTTTTTTTAAAGGAAAGAAAAGATGCGCTAGGGACATAAGTGGTGTTCTAAATAGATTTTAAGATGGTATTTGAGCCCTCTAAATAATATTGGATAAATCTTGATCTCCCCCACTTCCCCACCCCCACACTGGTATACTAGGAGATAGGTTTCGTCCCTGCATTAAGCAGAATTAACTTTTTCCTTTCTTTTTTTTAAAAAAAAAAATTATATTTTGCAATTACAGATGATGTGTACAGTATTGTATTAGTTTCTTGTTTATAAGCACATGATTAGATAGAACTTACAAAATGATCAGCCAGATAAATCTAGTACCCATCTTACACCATATATAGTTATTACAGTATTATTGACTATACTCCCCATGACTATTCTGTAACTACCAATTTGTTTTTTTTTTTAATCTTTATTGTTGAATGTAAAATGTATTACAGATGTTCCACATTTTTCCCACATTGACCCCCTCCTCCCCACTCCCGCCCCCCTCCTGCCTTTTCCCACACTATTGTCTGTGTCCATTGGTTATGCATATAAGTTCTTTGGTTTATTTCTTCCCACCCTCCCAACCACTTTTCCCTTTGAGGTTTGTCAGTCTAGCAATGAATTTGTACTTCTTAATCTCTTCACCTTTTTCACCCATACCCCCAACCCCCCTCCCATCTGGCAAACAACAAAATGTTCTCTGTATCTATGAGAATGTTTCTGTTCTGCCTGTTCATTTTGTTTGTAGATTCCATTGTCGATAGATATGTATGTATTCACTGCCATTTTGTTTGTTCATATATTTTATCTTTTCCTTCAAAAAGACCCTTCAACATTTCATATAATAATGGTTTGGTGGTGATGAACTCCTTTAACTTTTTCTTGTCTGGGAAAGTCTTTATATGGCCATCGATTCTAAATGACAGCTTTGCAGGATAGAGTAATCTTGGTTGTAGGTTCTTGCTTTTCATCACTCTGAATATTTCTTGCCACTGCCTTCTGGCCTGCAAAGTTTCTTTTGAGAAATCAGCTGACAGCCTTATGGGAACTCCCTTGTAGGTAACTAAACTGCCCTTTTCTTGCCGCTTTTAAGATTCTCTCTTTGTCTTGAACCTTTTGCATTTTAATGATGATGTGTCTTGGTGTGGGCCTCTTGGGGTTCATCTTGTTTGGGACTCTGTGCTTCCTGGACTTGTGTGTGTGTTTCCTTCACCAAGTTAGGGAAGTTTTCTGTCATTATTGTTTCAAACAGGTTTTCGATTTCTTGTTCTCTCTCTTCTCCTTCTGGCAACCCCAGGATGCGAATGTTGGCACGCTTGAAGTTGTCCCAGAGGCTCCTTACATTATCCTCATTTTTTGGATTCTTTTTTCTTTTTGCTGTTCTGATTGGGCATTTTTTGCTTCCTCATATTCCAAATCGATGGTTTGCTCCTTGGATTTACGTACTCTATTATTGAAGCTGTGTAAATTATTCTTTATTTCAGTTAATGCCTCCTTCAATTCTGACTGTGCATCCATGATTTCTGACTGGTCCTTTTTTATGCTCTTGAGGCCCTCACTAAGTTAACTGAGGTTCTCACTAAGTTCATTGAGCATCCTTATAAGCAGTATTTTGAACTCAGCATCTGCTAGGTTGCTTATCTCCATTTCGCTTAGTTCTTTTCTTGGGGTTTTGTTCTGTTCTTTCATTTGGGACCTGTTTGTCTCCTCATTTTGGCTGCCTCCCTGTGTTTGTTTCTGTGTATTACTTAATGTGCGGTATGGGGCTAGCTGAGACCAGAGGCTGCTCGTTTGAAAGAATTTAGGAAAACCTGAAGCAGGATCCAAGACAGGCCAATCCTATGGTTAAGCAAGTGGCAACAGCTTGGGTGGGCCTGAAAGTTGGGTGGGGCAGGGCCTCAGGGAGTCATCAGGGCTGGACTACCAGTGTGAGCCAGGTTGCTGGAGTCCCAGATATGGCTTCTGTCTGCTGTCCCAGGGAAGGGCTCACCAAAGGAATAAAGGCCTCTGACAGCACATTTGTCCTTGAGAAAGCCCCCTTGCCAGCCCTCACTTCAGTGCCAAACAGTTCAGTTCTTCCCTGGATGTCTCTGGTGCCCCTGGAGCTGCCTCCCCTCCAAGCTTAGAGGAAGAGAGTTCGTTAAGTCCGTGCACTGGCCCTTTAAGGAGCTGCCTAGGGCTCCAGCCGCTTCAGCTTCCCTGAGCCTTAGTTCACACTGGTTTTTCCAGCCAGAAGTTATGGGGATTCTCTTCCTGGCACTGGAACCCTGAATGGGGCACCTGGTGTAGGACGGGGACCCTTCAGTCCTCAAGAAGGACCTTCCCAGCCGAGGTATCCTCCTGATTTTTATCCGCCACACTTGGGTGTGGGACCAGCCCGTAGCGCTGCCGCTGCCACCACCGCCACCACCGCCACTGCTGCCGCCCCTCGCGCCTCCCTCCGCCCCTCCTACCAGTCTAGATGTGGCTGCTGCTTTAATTCTGTAGTTGTAGGACTTCCATTCAGCTTGATTTCAGGTGGTTTTGAATGATGGTTGTTCTGTAGTTTAGTTGTAACTTTGATGTGGTTGTGGGAGGACACGATACCGCGTTTACCTACGCCGCCATCTTGACCGGAAGTCCCAATTTGTACTTTTTAATCCCTTCCTCTTCACCCATTTCCTAAACTCCCTCCCATTAGGCAACCTTCAAAACGTTCTCTGTCTCTATGAGTCTGAGTCTGTTTCCTGTTCTGCTTGTTCATTTTGTGTTTTAGATTCCATGTATAAGTGAAATCATATGAATTAATTCACTCAGCTCAATACCCTCTAGATCCATCTATGTTGTTACAGATGACAAGATTGCATTCTCTTTCATGTCTCAATCATGTTCCATTATATAAATGCATCATTTATTTTTCCATTCATTTATTGATGGGCCCTTAGGTTGCTTCCATATCTTGGCTATTGTAAATAATGCTACAATGAACATATGGATACATATGTCTTTTCAATTCAATGTTTTGGGGTTATTTGGATAAATACCCAGAAATGGAATTGCTGAATCCTTCTTTGTCTCTTGTTATAGCCTTTATTTTAAAGTATGATAAAAGTATGCCTATCCCAACATTTTTTTTTTTCATTACCATTTTTGTGAAATATTTTTTTCATCCCTTTACTTTCATTCCGTGTGTGTCTTTGGATCTGAATTCTCTTATAGACCATATATGTAAGGGTCTTGTTATGCATTCAGCTACCATGTCTTTTGAGCATTTAAAATAATTGTTGATAGATACTTATTTATTCCCATTTTATTATTCATATAACATTTCTTATAATACTGGTTTGGTGGTGCTTTACTGCTTTAGCTTTTTCTTTGAGAAGCTCTTTATCTTTCCTTTGATTCTAAATGATAGCTCTGCTAGGTAGAGTAATCTTGGTTGTAGGTCCTTGTTTTTCATTGCTTTGAATCTTCCATGCCAATCACTTCTGGACAGGAAAGGCTTTGTTTATAAATCAGCTGACTGTCTTGGAGCATCCTTATCAATTACTAATTGCTTTTCTCTTGTTTCTTTTTTTTTTTATCCTCACCCGAGGACATTTTTTTTTTTTTTTCATTTTTGTTCAGATAGAGCGGGAGGGAGAGAGAGTAAGAGAGAGAGAGAAACATCGATGTGAAGGGACACATCAAGTGGCTGCCACCCACACGACCAACCAGGGCCGGGGACAAACTGCAACCGAGGTACGTGCCCTTAGCGGGAACCGAACCCGGGTCTCTCTGTACCGCAGGCCGACGCTCCAACCGCTGAGCCAAACCGGCCAGGGCTCTCTTGTTTCTTTTAAGAGTCTCTCTTTGTCTTTAATCTTTGCCATTTTAATTACGGTATTTCTAGGTGTGGGCTTCTTTTGGTTCATCTTTTTGGGTCTCTTTACTTCCTGAACTTGTATGTCTGTTCCTTCATCAGGTTAGGGAAGTTTTCTATCATTATTTTTTCAAACAGGTTTTCATTGTTTTGCTCTGTCTCTTCTTCTTCTAGCACCCCCATTATGCACATGTTGGTGCACTTGAAATTGTCCCAGAGGCTCCTTATATTTTTTTGGACTCTAGTTTGTTTGTTTTTGTTTTGCTGTTTTGATTGGCTGCTTTCTGCTTCCTTGTTTTCCAAATTGCTGATTTGGTCCTCTGTTTCATGTACTCTACTATTGATTCCCTATAATATATTCTTCCTTTCAGTTATTGTATTCCTTATATTCGATTGGTTCTTTTTTAAGTTTTCTATATTCATTTTTGTTTTCTATCTCTTTGTTAAAGTTTTCACTAAGTTCTTCTTCTCTTCCCCTAAGTTCCTTGAACATCCTTATAACTAGTGTTTTGAATTTTGCATCTGGTACATTGATT